AAACCTTCACCTAGCCGCCGAGGAGATCGGCTTACCTTAATAATTGTAGGTACACGTCGCGCTTCAAGGGGGTTAGGACGTTACCGGGCCAGCAGCGCGGCCGTGCCCCCTCGTCAGGGCGCAGGGGGTTTCGCCCCTCGCGCAGGGGTGTTACCATGGCGCCTATCCGGCCGACGCCGAAAAGCGCGTTGTCAAGGCGAAGTGATCGAAAGTCGCGAGAGATGTAATGAAACATTCTTAGCGCGACGAGGGCTCGTATTTATATTGCTGAATGGCACTCCTTACCCAGGTGAGAACGCCCGTGAGGGAGCTGACGCGATAAAGACGTAGCTGATGCAGCTCTCGGCGGTAATGCATTTTTTTCTAACGGCGCACGATAATCGGTAGACAGGTGTGATAATAATTTTAATAATGCAAATCGTATAAACGCGAGGCGAAAGGTGATACCGTTGGAAAATATTCTGATCGACAAACAGGTCCAATTTAAATGTAATCAAATATTTATTAATTTCTTTGCTGAAATACTTAAATTTTGGAATTTTGAATCGTGTCCCTCCCTGGAAAAAAATCCTGCGAATCTCTTGGGTACCTACACAACTTTTAAGTCACTTGGAGCCATAGAGGGTTCATCTATGGTTTCTATTCTAAAGGGGGAGTAGGGAGCTGCAACGAGAGTACGTAAAGAGTACGAAGGTTAATTTTCGTAATATTTGGATGCTAATCGACACGAGTCGTGCAGCACTTGGCGATGTTACAAAGTATCAGGAACAAACTTCGTTGGTGTTTGAATAAGTATCGTTTTATTAATATCTCTCTTATTATTTACAAAACTTTATAATAATCTCTAGCTGATTTTCTCACCACGACACACTACTCACTATCGTCAATCCTATTACGTTTTTTTTTTCGCTTTGCGTAATCGTTATACTGTAATGCTCGATAATGCTCGTCCTCTAAATCGTTTATGTATAATGAACGTCGTCGCTCGATTTAGAAATTCGTTGTCGACTTGCGCGCGACAGCACTTCCGCCCCTCTCTCTTCGCACCGCACAACGCCGCTTATAACAAACGTGTATTTACAATGTAAGTGCCATTTACAATTGAACGTGCGAAATCGTAAACTTGTCCTAAGATCCTCACTCGCGGCGCGAACGCGCGGGACGCTCGTTGAATTTAAAAAAAAAATCCGCTTCGATCCGCCCCTCGCGTCCCCGTCGCATCTCTCGCCGTACCACTTCCTCTTCTTTTTTCGCAGAAAAGGAAAGCTTCGAGAGCCCCCTCTCTCTTTTGCGTCACTGATCCCGTAGAGATAAAGCCGTCTCGATGAATCACACGACATTGCTCGCGAATCTTAACGGAGAAAGCAAAATAGAAAAGCGATTTTACCATTCGTTTAACCCTCTACACACGGATCGATTTTCTTGCTTGCGAGGGAAGATTACGCGAAAAGAGAGAACGTACTAATTAAGCCATTGATTGCGAGACTTAAAAAATATGCATACATGGGTATGTACAGAGGCGTCCACAGGGGAGGGCAGGAGGGGGCATTCGCCTCCCCCAGGAATCAGCAAAAGATTATACATTTACTCTTCCTTTGATAAAGAGAAGAGACTTGTATACCGAAAGCTGAGGATACAATTTGAATTTATAAATATTTTGTAATTTTATTTGTGTATAAAAATTTAAATTTTGGAAAATTTAAACCCTCCCTGGGAGAAATGCCATAACGTTTAAGTCATTTGGAGCCATAGAGGGTTAATTTATGGTGTATGCTGCGCGAACGTGATGAAATTTTGCTCGACGGAAAGTAAAATCGTTACGCGAGCGTTCAGATTGGCTCTGGCATAACTGACAAAAATGTTATATATGTATATTATATATCGCGCGGACGAAATAATACACGTCGACGTGACGATATACATATATATATATATATATATATATGCATGTATATATTGCATTTGCGCGCGACAATACAGCAAAATCTGTCGCGTAAATACGCGGCGCGCAGGGAATTCGCCGAATGTTTGACAAACGTGCCGCATTGTCTGGAAGCGACTTTCCGAGCGACAATGTCGCTCGCGAGCTCGTGTCTCGGATGTCGCGCTGTCGGTGAAATCGAGTCACAATCACGCGACAGGGTGTACTATTTCGTAATTCGAATCGACGGGTTTCCAATCCATCGAGTGGACACGGGTACGGAGGGGGAGGGCGGTGGCGGCGGACGACGATAATTCGCGAGCGAACAATCCGTTTCGCCGTGCTCGATTGTAGCCGGCGCCCGTGTTTTGTTTCCGGCGCCGCCCGGCGCTTTACAATGTCGTTTATTTCGCGCAACAACGAGCGTGTACCCTCCGCAAATCACCGAAATTCGGATATACGAGCCTCCGCCGATCTGCAAAAGCTGCCCTTTTTTCCCCTCTCTCCCTCCCTCTCGGCGAAACGCATTTTTTTTAGTACGCCCTACGAAAAATAGGCGTGTACTTTAACGATGGCATTGACGCGAAAAAAAGTCGATTACTCTTGCATGAAGAGATCGTGTGAATTCATAACAACTTTATATTCCATTGTCAAACGCTCAAGTTCAATATCGTCGAGACGCGCAAGATTCAGGATTAAAATATCTTCTTGAGGGGACCCTTCAGTCATTTTTTTTACCGACACAGTCGAATGTAGTTTTGGCGCTGGTAATTCTTTTTATTAGCTTTTATGCACAAAATAGTACCAGAGTCTAATAAAAAAGATATTGCTATTTGAAAGTTTCAATTCGCAGTTCTAACTAAATTTGAAATTGGTTTTATAAAATTGCCAAATTCTTCCACACGATTAAAGTACGTATGAAGACAAAACCAGGGACAGTCGTACGTGATTGAGGTCAGCTTAACTTCAATCATTTACAAAATGATATTTTTAATTCCTCTTCTTTTTTTATATAAAGTTGACTGTCCCTGGTTTACGCGTACTTTAATCGTATGGAAGAATTTTGCAATTTTATAAAGCCAGTTTCAAATTTAGTTAGAACTACGAGTTGAAACTTTCAAATACCAATATCTTTTTTTTATTAGACTTCTGAACTGAGTGTTTTAAGTATGAAAATGTTCTGCTATGCGGTCCGCAACTTATCCTGGTATGTGCATAAAAGCTAATAAAAAGAATTACAAGCGCGAAAACTATATTTGACTGTGTCGGTAAAAAAGATGGCTGAGGGATCCTCTTATAAAAGGGACGCGCGAGTCGAGCAAATTTTTGCCGGAAAGAAAGTCGAACCGACTGAGAAGCAATGCTAACGTCGTTGCAACAGCGAAGATATTTTTCCATGTTTCTTTAACGTCTCTTAATTCTGGAAATGTTCATCATTCTCGCTGACCCTTTTCCCGTCAGGTCACTTAAAGTTCGCGATTCAGTCCCGCAGTCTTGTCTGGTCTTGTCTTTTTAGCCGCGGCTTTTACGATCCCTTTACCGTTCGCTCCTCTTCTTCGTATATATTAATTTCTCTTTGAACGCAAAAGCGTAACGCAGTTAAATAGAGTAGATCCAGCGACGACTGCACGATCGTTACATCTCTTGTACATCTCTCGCGTGAACGCGTGAACTTCTCCGATTTGGCTCCAGCGAGAATTGTTAGCGGGATATCGTAATTTATTATCGGTCTCCCCTTTTTACAGCCCGCTCTCATTGTCAGCTCGCGCGTCCTAATTCGTCGAACGGTTGGGAAGCTGGCGACAATCGGAGAACGCCGTCCGGGAAATGGTGTCCATCTCGCTCGCAGGCCGGTGTCTATCACGAAGCCTATCACACAATAGGAAAGCACACAGGCAACAGAAATAACTAAATTCCAACTTACCAAAAACCGTGTATCGACGCACAATGGAACATGGAATAGGCAATAGGAGCAGAATTTCCGACGCGTTGGACTTCTGTTCCCTATTCCCTGTACCTGACCTACCTGACCAATCACAGTTGAGACTCTGGGACAGGCGCGTGGTTTCAAAAAAGCAGACTATTGGACAGCACTTCTATCGCCAACGAATCATTGTGTCTTGACATTACATAAGGCTTCTGTTCCGTGTTTCTATTCCTTATTCCTATTGCCCGTGCTTTCCTATTGTGTGATAGGCTTCGGAGTACAGCGATCTCGCACGTGAACGGGCGTAGTGCGATAAAAGCGCGTCACAGAGATTTTCGGAGGCAGGCAGTTCTTCCTGGAGAAGAACAAACGTGTCTTTCTCAACGCGATCCGGGTGACTCCCCGACGTGGATCGCGTCGCGAGTGCCGTTCGCCAATCGAGATTCTAGGGAAGACAAAGCGCCTCCCGTTGATCCGCGAGAAGATTTGCAACGCGCGTGCGACTCTGGCCGCGCGATGCCCCGTTCGATCCGTGACGGGCCACGGCACTCGCGATCGATTTACCCGATGACAGACGTGAAATCACAATGGCGGTTACTATAGCGATGCACGATGATCCCGATTCGAGTGTTCTCGTCGTAATATCAGCATCGGTCGGCCCGTTTTCAACCACGAGCGCATACTCACTGACCATAGGCGGTCGCTAATTATCACACTAATTGTCCCTACGGTCACCGAGCATATGCCCGCCTATTGTCGATCGCGGTGTCACCGCGGTGGACCCCGTATCGCAACGTGTATACACGTTGACGGTGCGTCCTTTCCTCAAAGCAGATATACATATAAAGAGAAAGAGAGAGCGGTGTCGGCCGCGCGATCTCGAACGACCCCGCGGACACGGACGGAGCCGCGGCCGCGAGCGACGGAGACGTGGTTTGCCCTCGAGTTCATCCCGAGACGTCCGTTGCGCAACGCGGCGCAGGTTTCGACGACCTCGACGATCAGATCCGCACACTCCCCCGTTTCCCTTCCCTCCCCTTAAGGACTGTCGTCGGGTATGGCGTACCAGGCAGCTGGATCCGCGGCGAGGGCCCATGGGCCCGCGACGGAGGGATTGGCGTAGGCCGCGGCCCCCGCCGCGGATGGCGCGCACTACCAGGCTCGACCCTGCAGTGGTAGGTACGCGCCGCACTGCGGCTGCTGCTGCTGCTGCATGCCCTGCTGCGCGCCGGACCGCGTGTACGAGCAGTGCTGCAGGCTCTGGCTCGAGCTCATCACGTGGCTGACTCCGGCGACGACCGAGTGATGGGACACCGAGGAGGCCGCCGCGTGATGGGTGCCGTGGGGACTCGAGGCCGCCGTCATGTGCGGCGCCGGACTCGCCAGGGCCGCGCTGGGCCCGCCGCGGCTACCCTCGTTCCCGCCGCCGCCGCCGCTTCCGCACGGCTTCCCGTCCTTCACCAGCACCGGCACCGCCACCCGCCGCGGCGAACTCGCACTCTGGAACAGATGTATCATTGCCTCTTGATGCGACGTGCCACCAGGCGACGCGAATTGCGAAAATAATGTACATGGATATGTGCAGGCTCTGCCTGCTGAAAAACTCATTTTTGCCGCCGTAGCTAATCATGGTTTGCTGTCGCATCTAACACAACAGGCACAGTAGCAAAATGTTTTGCTGCCGCAACGAAATATTAGCTGCCCATTTGTTAGTTGCCACATACAGTTTTTAGCTATGGCAGCCACATTTTCTTTTTCGCGTGCCTGATAATTACCGCGTCACTTCTCGCGGCTAGAGCGAGTTGAACTTGAAAGAATAGAAAAGTCCTTTTCCGTTTAAATAATTTACGAAGAATTGATCGGCCAAGATACGCGATTCGGTGACGGTTTATATTTGAAAAAATATATAAAATATTTTAGCATGCAAATAAGTTTTCAAAGACTTTTCTCAGTGCATTACTGTCGGAAAAATATCGTGCCGAAAGGAGTAAACAATAATTCGATTGTGGAAAGTTGCTTGATTTCACTTTAATTATCGAGAAACTAGGCGAAAGGACTTTTCTATCCCGTTTAACCCGCTCTACCTGCCCACGAGAGCTGGCGCGGTAATTGGCACACATTGGCACACATCCCGTATACAACCTGTATATTCCATTTGCATACTTCACATTTATTTGTATATTTTTAACATCAAAGTAGCGTATCGCGGTACCGAGCGATTCAAGTAGCGGATACGTCTACGATGCGTAGGTCGATAAGCGTAATTCCCTGATATTTATTTCATCGAGATTTATCGCTCGCGTAATATCGAAATTCCCTCATTTGGTACCGCGACGTACACTGAAAAAATAGCTAATCATTTGCTAAAAATATTTTGCTGTCACACACAGTTGAAAATTTTGTGTTAAATTTAACAGATATCACATGTCTCAAACGGTCCACACAAATTTTTGTGTTAATTTATTCTCTGTTCGCAAAAGAATGGTGAGAATTCAATGCACTGCAGGGGCGAGCTCTAGTATATTGCCAGATACGTTTGTTCCTCTGCAATTAATTGTTACACAAATATCATATTGAAAAATGATATTACAAAATTCTTACATAGCATTCGCACTAATTTTCTGGAAAGCTCTGGGTTTTTCAGTTACATCATTGTTACAGCAAATTAGCGATTTGTTGTACCGTATTTTTTTTTATGTCGATTGTAACTTCAAAAGTCACGTCTCGGAAGTTCGATTAGTCGTAACTTGACTCGCGTCGTGCCGCGTCCTCGGACTGAAGTTGTCTCTGTACTAGTTGTCTCTACTCGTCTGCGACGGTACCAGACATCGATCGCGAACAAGTTCGCGTGTAACGCGTATCGTTTATTATCTTCGCAAGCAAAGACACAGAAAGTGCAGGGAAGTGCAGCCGGGAGCAACAGGTGTAGCGTCGCCGCGACGGGTAAAGCGCGCGAAGTTGGACGCGCGATTTTCGCCGCCATTAGAGATCTCGTCCGTCGCGTCGATCCCGCGAGACGTTGATCGACGGATATTCGCAACGTGGAAAAATCGCGTTCTTCCGCCGAAATGCGACGAAGCACGCGTCGTGAAAGGCTGGAATTACATTTGTCGTACGATAAAATTTTTAAGGATGTTGATTGGTTAGAGAATAGTACAATTTTCAGGTATCTAGAAATTTTTTTATTTCGCAGCCAATCAACGCGCCTGAAAAATTTGTCGTACGACAAATGTAACCTCAGCACCCCCCGGGCCTGAGCAGAATGGCTGTCTTATACTCTTAAGACAGCCTTAAGACAATGTTTTATGTTTTAAGCCTTTGTCTTGAGGTAACGCACAAAAACTGTCTTATGTCTTACAGCGAATTCGGTTGGTTGCACCAGTGCGCACTGAGTGCACACCAAGCCTTGTTTCTAGTCAATTCTTATATTTAAAGATCATCTTAAATACCTCTTGCAATATTTCTCATGCAGAAAAATGGTCTATGCAACGTTTACACGGATCATTTTTTTTACTAAATACTCTTTGAACATGTATTTAAGACAAAGTTAAATATAATAACTGACTATGTAAACAAGCCTTTAGTGTGCACTCAGTGCGCACTTATAGTGCAAGCAACCGAATTCGCTATTAAGAATACAAGACAGCCATTTTGCTCAGGCCCTAAGATTGACGGTCGGGAGTGCCGTAGAAGATGTCGCGCGATCGGTAGTGCGCGGCCATAATTAATCTTGTTTCCGTGACTGCTGTGTCGTGCAAGTGTCGTGCAAGAGCGACGGAAGGAAAGACGCAGTGAAGCTGAGAGAAGACGTCGGGCGACCGCGAGGGGCAACCACGGATAAATAACATGTTATTTGTTCGCCATTTACGAGGCTCGTTCCATATCTCAGATAAGAGTTCGATCTATCTTATCCGAGTGAAAAACATTTTTCAGGGGTTATTTACATTTGTAATTATTTTACTGGAAGTTAATTGTTTATTCAAAACGCGAGAGCAAAATATTCCACGCGATAATTCCCGCCTGCTGGTAATTGTTAATTACCTCGAACATTGCCCGCGTATCGTTTCGCATTATAATAATGTAAAATGCACGTTGAATAATTTTGATTTCGTGATACTTGAAGTATTCGACAAGATATGTTGTAAATATAATATTTTAACATATACAATACTCAGGGTTGGGAAGTAACTCGTTACTTGTAACGAAGTTACAGTTACTTCTTTCTCGTAACTCTAACTTAACTTCGTTACTTTCTCTCCATCTGTGACTGTAACTTAACTCAGTTACATTTTTTCGATAACTAATTTAATTAGTTACATTAATAGTTACTTTATACATTTTTTAAACCTCCACAGACCGCATTAGGCCTTGCATTTGCACATAAGCGACGCTTTACAATTCAAATGCAGATTTGATATTTTTATTTTCATTGTAAGAAAGTAACTGCGAAGTAACGATTCGTTACTTTTTTACTAACTGTGACTGTACTTAACTAGTTACATTTTTAGCGAAAACACTGTAACTGTAACTGGATACTTTTATAAAGTAACTTTCCCAGCCCTGATAATACTTTTATAGAATCTTCAACGCGCGTTTAAGATTGCGAATCGCGAGAATTATTCGAGGAAGTCTCGTCTATTTGATTCGATAAGAGTTTATATTTAAGAGCTAAATCTTTTTCATAGAAGTTACATGTAATTGCCTTATTCGACGTTTATTTAAACCGCGGGTAAATTATTCACAAAATATCTCGCGCAATAATTTTCCCGCGAGACATCAATTGCCTCGAGCGTCGATCTAATTCGAACGCATCTGTTTTCTCCACAGATCAATATAAACTACTTCCGTTGCGGCGCGTCGCGTGCCAGTGAGTATACAAATACTTTCGTACTTTGCCTCAATTTTGAGGCAAATAGGACCTGTGCAAAAATTCTTTGAGAAGTTTGGCGAGAGAACGACTTGAGTTTTCGTTTAAAAATGTTATATTCAAAGTTTCGAGATTGAAAATTTACGTACTTATTGACCAAGAACGCAAGATTCCAAGATTTTACAGACATCGGTCTGTAGAATACGACTATAAAGCTTCCAGCTTGGCTTTATGGTTTAGGAAAAAACAACTTAAGTCGACCTAAGTCGTTCTTCGACCAAACTCCTCATTTACAGCTATTCAGTGAAATGTCTCTTTAAACGAGCTCGAGCACCGCTGGCTACCGATTCCCGTGGATTATCGAAACCGCCACCGTTTGCCAAAGTTTCTCGGTACAAGTGTACGCACTTTGAGCGCGCGCGCACACATGTACCATGCAATTTCCCTCGGCTCGACGGACCACTGCGTGAACAAACGCGGGGATACGTGGGCCGGCTAAGGACTTGAGCTAAGCGCTCCTGTGTTCCGAGCAAACACGCGCAGCGCGGTAGGCCCGGTAAGACACTTAACCCGCACGATATCCCCGCGATCCAGCATTCGCCGCTAGACGAAGCGCGCGGGCTCTCTCGCGCTACGAATAAACAGTACCGGCTACCGTCCAAGTCCCGTAGTGTAAAATCTTCCCGATCCACGAACGTACGCGTGTATAAACTTTTGCGTTTCCTTTCTTTAAGGAGGCAACTCGTGACTGCGCACGAGCCGCACACCAGTCACGTAATTAATATATATACAGAATATTGAAGCGAATCGCGGTTTTTTTTATACATGTAGGAAATTTTATATTTAAATCTGTAATTGAGGGCAACTTTTCTTATAACCTTTAATTTTCATTCATCTGGTAATTACAATTAGATGAATTAATAATCTATCGCGTTATTTTTTAGATAATTAGCATACAAAATAATTCTATGAATCACAATTTTTTCTATATGTAGAAGATTTCATATTTACATCTGTAATTGGAGGCGACTTTTCTCATGTTTCTTTAATTTTCATTAATTCGGTAATTCTTAAACGAATTGATAGTCTTCGTCGCGTTATTCTTTAGAAAATCAATTTACATAATAATTCTATGAATCACGATTTTTTTCTACATGTAGGAAATTTCATATTTACATCTGTAATCGAAGGTGACATTTCTAATATTTCTTTAATGTTCATTAATTTAGTAATTCATAGACAAATTAATAGTCTTTGCCGCGTTATTCCTAAGATAATCAATTTACATAATTCATACATGTAGGAGATTTTGTATTTACATCTGTAAGTGGAGGCGACTTTTCTCACATTTCTTTCATTTTCATTAATTTGGTAATTCTTAGACGAATTGATAATCTTTCCTTCCATCGATTTACCTTGCTGCTGCGAATTTGAAATTTTTCCGTCGACGCGAATAAAGATTCCGAGAACGGGCCCGGTTAATTCGAGGGAGATCACGTTTTCTATTCGCGCGAGAGACCCGTGGGCGTAGAGACAGCCCTGTTCTGTACGTCAACCCCACGGACCTCACGGCATACCAAACAGAAGCCGAGGCAGACCGAATACCTGCCAGAGCGACCACTCAGCTGTATCA